TGCTTTTAACTTCCAGCATGTACACATGATCTGACGACAGTTGACGAGATTGACTGGAAATTCATGGTGCATTTCCTTTTTGTGTTGGAACAAAGCTTAAACTCTATTAACTATGTACACATGATGAAGTCAGTTGTACTGCTGTTTTCCAGCTACACTGTAGTGTTTGTAGTACATGAGAGTGAAACACAAGACTTCATGGTAATCACAAGAACAGGACAGTCCTCACAACGGCTGGTGCACACAAACCTGGTGTCTAAATTCATGGGTGGATTTTATATTACTACATTACTAACCTTCTCCCTGCTGCCTAACCCCCTAACCGATATAAATCTGGTGCCAATTGTGCAGGGAGAAGGTTTACATGTCTATAACAGGTCTACAAACTGTCCGCATGAGGAAAGCTAAGCAAGATGCCAGCTTCTGCTGCCGATGTGGTTTGAGTGGCCAAAGAAAACTGAACCCTACAGAGTCGAGTCTATTCTGAAAGTTTCAGAAAGGATTCCAGCATAGAGGAAACATCACAGAGCCAGGCCTCATAGCAGTAACAGAAAACCTAAACAAAATGGTACATTTTTAGGATTCTGGATTATTCACGAGTTGCACATTCCCAGGATCCTTTGCGCCCAGGGTAGGTCACGTGGGCGTCAGGGTAGGGAAAGGTCGCGGTAAACCACGTGACTCATCCTCGGCTCTGGTCGGAAGAAGTCGGAAGTGTTCGCGAGCGCTCGGAAATTTCAAAAATGGCTGACACCACTGCCGGCGGCGGGAGGTACGTAGTTTTTCACGGCGTTCGTACAGCGTTCGTACGGCAAAGCGGCATCGAATTTTTGCTCCATGACTATCGGTATGGGATAGGATAGGGTTGATTCAACACACTACGTGAAAATGTGAATGCTCCCAGCCTACTATCGGCCAGATATCGCTTAGGGCACCTTCTTCCGACCAGAGCCGAGGATGAGTCACGTGGTTTACCGAGACCTTTCCCTACCCTGACGCCCACGTGACCTACCCTGGGCGCAAAGGATCCTGGGAATGTGCAACTCGTGAATTGAGTGGAAATATTGTGCCCCTTGACCTTTTGTTGAACGTGCCCCTTAACCCTTGACCTTACCTGTTGCAGGACGGCTTGCTGCTGGACAGTCTGGGGCTGGAGTTGCTATGGTAACGACAAAATGTCACAGGTCAACAAATATCACAATAAAAACTCAACAAAGACAGCAAAAAGGGAAATTTGTAAGAACAATATTTTCATGTTGAAAGTTAGTGAAATAACCCACCTGCAGTGCCTGTTGCTGCTGCAAGAGGGCAGGCTTATACTATAGTTACACAGTAAACCAGTAATGTAGAAAGTTTTGACAGTAACCCACCTGCAGTGCCTGTTGCTGCTGCAAGAGGGCAGGTTGAGCCTGCAGCTGGTTGTACGCGGCCTGGGTGACCGTGGTTGACCCCAGGGCGGTGCCGAGCGTGACCCCGCCCACCAGCGTCTGCCCGTACACGGGCTGGGCCCCCAGCAGAGACTGCTGAGGCTGCTGGGCCGTCGCTATGGCAACACGACATCAACAACAATCAGGACAAGGTAAACAACAGTAGAATGTTTAAATGTCACAAAGCTGCTCATTCTCTTATCATGTTTATGGTTTACATGGACTGAGATACTAGTATCTGAGTTCTAAACTTCAGAATTTGGCATATTTCTAGTGTTACCTTTTTTATGGTACAGGTATGAAGTACAAGTTAAAGTATTAGGTACAGGTATGAAGTACACATGCAGAAACACCAAACCACCGTATCCACTTTACATGTATTAACTAAATTAAGTATAGGTATGAGGTACAGGTACACAGTACTAGAAGAAATCAAACCACCGTACTTGCTATCCCCTTTACAGGTAGAGGTGTTAAGTATAAGTACAGGTATCAGAGCAGTAGAAGAAACCACCGTACTTGCTATCCGTTCTGCGCCCGCGCCAAGCCCACCCCCTGCTGGTAGCCAATCGCAGCCTGCTGAGCTCTCAGCAACGACTGCAGCTGCTGGTCCTGATTGGCTGAGAAGGGACAACACAACAGTTTGTTTATTTGTTTATCAAGAGTGCTGACAAGCAAGCAGTCCAGTAGCATGGAGAATGTTGAGTACCACAAAGCATCGATAACACAAGTATACAAGTGGCGTTGGGAGACTAGGGCTAGAAATACCACTTACATATATGCAGGACTGAGGTTAGTGCAGGTAAAATTGGGGCTGTTCAGGTAATTCTGGTGTCTACCTGCACAATGGTTTGTAGTTTGATGCATACTTTATCAAATTCTGAGGAGCATTAAGGATAAGATAATGTTTTTACCTTGTGAGGCCCACGGAGGGTTTTTAGCACCAGTGTTGAACTGAGCCATGGCGGCTTCCCCTATCCTCAGCTCTGGTCACCTCACAACTGGAAAGGTACAAAAACCCCATTGTTAGCCTCCATTAATGATAAATTACATGCCAAAACCTTGTCATGTCTTCCTATCAGATATAAACAATACCATCATATATCACATCTGTGAATGTCCCTTTCTTTGAGATGACAGATTGCTGCAGAAGATGTACTGTTGATGTTCATACTCACCAGAATTATTCCAGTGTAAGTGTCTTGTGATTAATCATGAAAGGTGAAGTGCTGTGCAGGGATCTCCCCAGAAATTTAGGACAGAATGGAGGAGGGTGCGAAATATCGGTAAATTTGACCAAAGAACCCTGGAAAAGGGTGTAAAAACACTAGTTTTGAAAATTAACAGGGTGGAGCTGAGATAAGGACTGGGTGGAGGAGCTCCACTGCTCCATTGTTTAGGGAGGTCCCTGGCTGTGGATGGACATGGACTTACATGTATGCTGAAAACAAAATTTCATCTATCATCTCAGGCTTAAAGTCAATCACAGACCCAAAACCTTGAAGGAAGACAACAATATTGCATGTTGTCTTCGTTCTACCGCATTAAACATAAGCAGGCTGAACCTGAACTATCACACATCTCACAGTGAGGGTCTCACAGTGAGCAAGCAGCAGACAGGCAGGTCGTCTGTAGGACAGATTCTGCACGCCTGTGACCTGACCTGACCCCGCAGTCCACAAAAGGAGTTGTTGTGACAAGTCAGGGACACCCTATCAATGTATGGGGCTGATTCTGTGGTAAGATCACAGCCACAGCTACAGAACAAGCTGAACTATAGTATAGGCCCTCCAGGTCTGTATGTTGGTTGGCAGGACTTGACAGACTGGTTTGATCCACCCACACATTTTGCCAACAGCGATGACAGTTGAGTTTCCTTAGCCTGGGCTGGCCCGAGTGTAATTATGATATAACGAGTCAGTAGCAAACAGAATAGCACCCAGGCTACAGTGTCCTGCCCAGCTGGTTTGACTTATACTTGGTACATTTTTTTAATCCTCCCATCTGCTTGGAGATTAGCCCTTGATCTCCCTGATGTTTACCAGGCGCAGCAGGACAGAAGTAGGTGTACCCTGCTGGGGAGGTGATGAGTATGACAGCTGTGACTGTCAGGGGCACAAACTCAGCTCCAGTGGCCATGACATGTTGTTTTGTGTTTGTGTGGTGTGTGTGTGGCAAAGGGCTGTGTGTGTGTGTGTCTGTGTGCTTGAGTCTGTGTGTTTGCACATGTGTGAGCCAGCATAATTTTCTTCCCACGTCTGACTCTGATTGCCTTGTTTGTTTTGTGACCTGGAAGACTAGGCCCAAACAACACATTATCATCAGAATGTTAAACTCTGGTGGATGTGAAATTTACTCAGAACAGAATGCAGAAAAGGGCTTGAAAATTTCAGGAAAAGCAACTTCATCGAAAAAAATGTGTGGTATCCTGCCTGTTTTCCTGAATAAAAACAGCCTATAAACAAACCTGTCCAGAAGTAATCGTAATAGCAGCTAGGCTCCTTAGAAAAAAAAATTTCATGATCATTTTTTATATAGAGCACACCCCCCCCACACACACACACAGTTGTTGTTTGTGTGGAACAAAATATTGATTTTGATCCTTTCTAAAACACAACCTGACAACCTTACGGAGACCAAACTCACACGAGAGATCACACCAGACAGACCTACACCCGCTATCTGAGCTTGCCAGACCACAAAACAACCGACATAAAAATGGGCGCAACTTGACTCAGAGGAAGGAAGCCTGGAGGCAAGCTACCGTCTGCGCAGCAAGACCGCATTTTTCTCAGTCGGCTATGCGGCATTTTTTTCTCATTTTCTCACTAAAACGGGGGACAAATCTTTAAGTATTCCATGCAGAACTAAGCACAATACATTCTGGATTGATGAGAGGTCTCTACTCACCGATTATTTGGCTGAAATTTCTCCCAAAATCAGCTAAAGTCGGAGTCAGTCATAACCTTTTCCACAACACAATGAGTTATGGTGACATGTGACCGTAATGGCGGGTCCACGCTCCGAACATTGCCGAAGGGCCGAAGATTGCCGAACGATGCCGACGCGAGGTTCGTATATTTCCGTCGGCAAGGTTAAACTTTTTATTACTTTTACGCTAATTAACATGATATTTTCTCTTTATATGAAGTATAAACAACGGAAGAACCATTTTAAAGCATGAAAAATGAATGTATTTATATTTTCACGATGAAAGCTTGGGCCCAAGAAATAAGATATGTTTGACCTCGTGACCCCAACTCGCTCAGCTTCCCCCGTTGCCAGGCAATGGAATGTACCAAGTTAGAAGACAAATATGAGTAACACTTTTAATAAACAACAAATTGTCATCCAAAGAACAAAAAATGGTATAGAGACTTTAATAATAGTATTCATAATACTTAAAGCCTACGTACTCAAAATATTTCGGTAGAAAAACAATTTTATTCAATATTTTTTAACCAACCTCCTCTTCTTGAATGAGCTCGCCCACCGCCATAGAGGCGTGGACAACAGTAACAAACAAGTGAGAACGCTTCAGCAACTTCAGCGCATTTTCGGAGTAAATTCCCGGCGCTAGAATAGCACTTCCTCGGACATTTGTAGACATTATGGTCCCCTAAAGTCACCGGGAACTCTTTGTGACTCTAACACCGCGACTTTGCCGAGTTTTTGCGGAGTTTAGAGGTTGCGAGGCGTGTCAGAAAGGAATTCGGGACTAGGACAACCTCCAAGGAGTTTTTCTTCCTCTTTAATCAACTTGTTTGACAACACTCTTGGGTTGTTGTTGTGATACTTTAGAGATTGATATTCGGCAGAGTTTTTAACCAGAAAGGAACACAGAAGAACCAGACAAGATGCCGGACACGGGAAAGACGGACATGGAGAGGCTGGGTATATTCCAGGAGATGGGCTACACAACCATCGGGGACAAGTACAAACTGCCTAAAAGTCAGTACATGCACAAATATCTATTAAGGCGTTTCATAATTTGTCGTTGTTTGCCAGACTTTCCTATATTTCTGTTATTATAAATAATCATTTACATAGGGATGAGTACAATTCGTCCATTCTTTAAAAATTTTTGCACTATTATTATACGTATTGTTATAATACAATAGCTGAGTATGAACGTTATGTTTCCTCCTTTGCTGCATGTATATTGTCTTTGATGCTTAGCAGCAATCTTTACTTTAGTAGTGAACTGCAAGACTTAAAGCTCTCTCAGTCCTCTACAAATTGTGCCTATTCATCTATTGTTATTTGAGTTTTATTTTACTGAGATGCACGATACAGTATTAGGTAATATTCCTGTGGTCCTTATTGCACAAAACTACATGACATGAATTGAAACACTTGAATAACATTTCTCCATTTTCCATGTACTATCAGTTAAATGCATATGCTTCTATGCTTCTTAATTTGTTATTTAATTAACTCTTCGTGTCCTCTATTTCCTACCTGTAGTGAACTTTAACGATGCAGCAGGAAAAGGCAAGCAGATGTTACCCGGCGGCAGTAAGACGAGAACCGCGCTCCAGGCCGGTTACTTCGACAAAACGTTTAACCGCGTGATGGAAGCGGAGGCCTACACCGACCCCATCAAACTCCGCCGGCAGCACAGACTCAAGGAGGCCAAGAAAAACCTGGGGAAACCCTTCCTGCCAAGTAACGGGGATAAGAAACCGTGAGTTTCCTACAAGACGTCTTGTACAGTGTGTGTGTTCTGGTTTGGTTATCTTTTTAGTGCCCACGATCATGATGATGGTCATTCTGACATACTCATTTTCACCTGAGTGAAGTGAAAGTCAATGTTAAGTGACTTTCCCAAGCTAGGGCACAAGATTGGTGACTTTCCAGCATTCGAACCCTGGACCTCTTGGTTCTGAGCTGAATGCTCTGTCGTTGCGCCACATGACCCCACCTGTTCTGTGGATTAACATTGCTCAAAGCTATAGCATGATGATGCAATAATTGACAGACTGAGCTTGTTTGTTAATTTATTTTTTTTTGTCATCTAATTACAGCTCCGGGCTGGGTAATTCCTACGGGACGTTCGCTGGACCCGTGGGTGCGTTCTCTCCCGTTGCGCGGCCAAAGAAAGCGTACGTGGCGCCGGGGAAAAACGTGCTGACCAACCCGCCAAAAAATGGAACAGGATACGGGTAAATAAAAACAACTTTTATTCTTCCTACACGTGATTTGAAATTAATGTATAGAATGGATGCTAGTAGTCTAATTCTGCTTGTGCTTAGTAATATATAAGCCATATGATTATAGGATATAGAAATGTCCTTTTTTCACAACCAGGTAATACATTCGGATGTCCTCTGAGCCCATCAGTGAGAGCTTTATGTTCTCTTAAACCAACCGATGAAGCTATTTTTGGAAATCAGCTATTATACTAGTAATTACTATAAAGATTTTATATGCTTTTCCATACACCATGTTTATCTGACAGCCATGTTGACCTTTGTCCCCAGCTATCCTAATGTGACCTTGGGGAAGTCGGCGCCCTACGCTCCTGACCCCTACGAGCGCGCCAAGGACATCAGAAATGTGAGGACACTTCCTTATTGTCTTTTAAAAAATTATAGCAGGGCTCAAAATGCTTTTTCTCTGCACCTAGACTGAGTTGTCTGAAATCTTCTTTGTGAAATTCTGGAGAAACATTTCTGCTGATTGTTCTTGTACTTAGACTCCTTACAATATAAGTTGCAGATTGGTATTTTGAGTCCTGCATTGTCATATTTGATAGTAGTTGAGTAATCCGCATTTTACAGTCATTTTTCTAAAACTTTAATGTACTCAGTTCAATATGTTTGTGTGAATCCTAATTAATATCTAATATTGCATACTAGTACTTTTTTATAGTTGAGTCCTGTGCTGTAATCTCTGTTGAAATTATATCAACCCTGCCTCCCCCCAGCGAGAAATGGATGGTTCCAAGAAGCTGATGAAGGGGTCAGCGTTCCGGTTGAACCTGGCGCCGAAGGATTACTTCGACGGGAATCCGTACCGGTCCGACCGCCCGCTCGGGCCGCCCAAGAAAATCCCCAGCGCCAAGAGGGACTTCAAACCTTTCAAACCCAGCTCTCCTGCCAAGAGGGTGGGTGCAATCATTCTTACTCATTCACTCACTCATTCTCTCGCTCGCTCACTCATTCTCTCGCTCCCTCACTCATCCATTCATACTTACTGTGGAGTAAGAATTGTCTATGTTCAAACCCAGCTCACCAGCCAAGAGGGTGGGTGTGATCATACTCTTACACATTCATTCTCTTACTGGCTCGCTCATTCATTTATACTTCACTGTGGAGTAAGAATTGTCTGTGTTCAAACCCAGCTCACTGGCCAAGAGGGTGGGTGTGCTCTTTCTAGTAGTACTCATTCATTCTCTCACTTGCTCGCTCACTCATTCATTTTCTCACCTGCTCACTCATTCACTCTCTCACTTGCTCACTCACTCACACTCACTCACTCTCACTCCTTCATTCTCTCACTTGCTCACTCATTCACTCTCTCACTTGCTCAATCACACACTCACTCATTCATTCATTCTCTCACTTGCTCATTCATTCATTCATTCATACTTCACTGTGGGGTGAGAATTGTTTATGTGCAAACCCAGCTCACTGGCCAAGAGGGTGGGTCTGTTCATATATACTTATTCATTCATTCTCTCACTCGCTCACTCACTCATTCATACTTACTATGGAGTAAAAAATTTTTAGTCAAACCTGTTGTTACTGACAACCTAGAGTACTTGTGAGAGTGAGAGTTGACAGGTGGTTTCTTTGGTGGTTAAATAATTTTAATGCTTGGGTCATGGGGAACACTTATTTAAGTGACCACAACTTATGGCCAGATGGAATGCATTTCTTGGTGCCATACCTCTGTAATTGTGATTGTAACTGACTAATGTCTAACTCATGTTCGTTTCCCAGGTTGGAGGCATGAAGGCCGGGACCTTTGACCCTTACCCTTCGCACTCTAACGACCCGTACGTGGTGAAACAGAAGCGAGCCATCACCACCAACAAAGAGGGGAAAATCTTCCACCCGTCGCCCGGGCCGAAAACCGCGCCGACCAACTCCATACTGGAGTCAAACGTTATCAAGTAAGTAACTTTAACATTCGGCCTGCTAAATGCCTTTGGGCACCTTAAGTATGTATTGGTCATGGGTTAAGGCAGCAGGAAGAACTTTATTAATTTTAGTACATGTTGAGTGTATTGGCTGCTACCTGGCATATCAGATTTTCTCCTTGGTTTACTTACCTGTCCAGGCGACAAAATTTGGTTCTGTGTCCAAGATGTGTATTTTGTCTGATGTCACAGTGACACGTGTGTGTGTGTGTTGTGACACTTCAATGCTATATTAGATCTTCAAGGTCTACCAGATACCTTTGACCCAGTGTTGACGTCAAACTTCAAATAAGCCACGTGACAAGCTTCACTGGGTCAGTCTACTGAGGAAGACCAGAGCGACTGGTCGCAAGCTCTAGGTGAGAGAACTTTTTGTGGTGGGTCAAAAGTTTCAACTCTAATGTTTGTTTGTTTGTTTCAGGCGGTTGAACACCAGTAACTATCGCCAGCTGGCTGCACAAGGTTACACGTCCTTCCCCTCCATGCAGGCGAGAACGCACACCGCGCCCAGTGTCATCACCACTGCTGCATAAACCACATACATAGCCTCAGAGGGTGTGGAGGGGGGTTACGAGCTCTCACATTTTGTAGCAATCCTCCCAGCCTTCAGTACTAGACTCTGGTGACACATTAGGAGCTTTGCAGATTCAGCATTCTAGAAAACCCTGCCCACACCCTCCTGTTAGAGGATGTGTGAGGGGGTTACAAGTGATCATGTTCAGTGAAAATTGTCCTGGCCTGTCAGGCTCAGCACATGCAGTGAAAATTTTCCTTGAAAAATGAACTTCTTCAGCCAGAAAGATTGCAGGATTACTGCATCAATAAACCCCCATCCACACCCTCGAAGTGTCCTACTTATTTCCAGTTTCCCTCAGGTCCACATTGGATCCTCATTTAATATCGCACAACAAAAGTTTTTTTTTTTTTCAAACTTCCACCTTAAGTTTACATATCTTTTGATAAATATTATCACCTCAAGGATTTGAGCTCATTTAAAAACAGATACTTCAAGGAATTCAGCGAAATGGTACATGTATTTTCTGTGTATGTTTGGAGCATATCTCTGGTACAGATATTCTGATGTTCATATCACGAAGTGGAAGAAAATGTTCTTTTTGTAATCCAGGCATTCAGCTGCTACTAATGAGATGTTATATTTTAACATTAAGGCACCTCCCAGGCATGCACTATATGTTATCAGTGTCTGCAAATGGGGGTTAGCAGTTTCAGGTACAGAAAGCTAAACTATTACATACCGGTGCGCATGTACCCCTATGTTAGCCTCTAGGTGTGTGCACTGTGTAAGTACTGTGTTTATATGGTGCCATTTTATCAGGGGTGACTTGGTTGTAATTATCAAGAAGTTAGAGAATTTTTTTTTTTCTATGAGTTATATCTCAGACTATTGTTTATACGGGCTGGTATAGCAAATATTGTCATGACTTATTAAACATATCACTGTTGCATGCGGATATGTACATTTTCGTAAAAGTCTGAAATCTTTACGATTGCTACTTTGTTGTGCTCACGTCTTGCTGTGAAACGTCTGCCAGAGTACGAGTCAGATGAAAAAAATCATGTATATACCTGTGTATTACACTATGTCAATAAAGTTCTTTAATACCACTTCTGAAGATTTGGAAATGTGTTCTGTTAGGAAATTTTACATTATTTAATGATCCCTTAGACTAATTTATTTTGATTGATTGATTGATTGATTGATTGATTGATTGATTGCTTCATTCATTATATTATTTGACCGTTGGGGCACCACAGAAGAACTGGAGGTTTGGTGGTCTTTGGCTGTTTTCTGATTAGCCCAGTTCTAAACGGGGGTAATTCAACCAGGCCAGCTATGTTGTCTATATGCAATCAGAAAAAAACACAAAAGATCCCAAAGACCCTGAAGACCTCCCAAACCCCCAGTTTTTGGCATGCTAGAAAATGGAGAGAGAGATCCCAGACCTGCTACAATACTGTTAGGTGTTCCACACATTTTCATAGGATAACAATAAATGCTGAAACATTTTGGGCAAAATTATTTATTGAGCCTACTCCACATGGCCAGTAAGCAAAAATATACTCCCAATACAACAGGGAGAAAGTTATTACAATATAATTGTACACTATTGAAAATCAAATCTACTGGTTCCAAATTCATTGGATTTGTCTGCTTTAATTTTTGGAATGTAGCAAATTCTATAATTGTTAAGCTTCGGAAATTCATTCATAGGCCTGAAAATGTGACCTGAAACTATCCAAGCGCTACCGGTACTTTTGTAATACTGGTTTGAGTTTTGCAGCAATTCTTTAATTTCAGTAGTGAATACAAAAGACAGAATAACGTACAGGATAATGTTTAGAGCTCTGTTTTTTGCTGATTGATTTTATACATCTCTGAAGGATTATTTTTTATTCTTATTTTTCTATCATACAGTTTGTACAACATGTACATCATCATGTACATCATACAGCGCGAGAAAACAACAGAAAACTTAAGGGATTCAAGCTACAATAGAACTGCCGTGAGAAATATAATCAACTCTCCAAGTCCAAACATTGATTGTCAAAAAGATGTGCATTCATGTGAGTTAGCACCAAACACCAGTCACCTTGAAGTTGTAAAGACCTTAAAAATCTCAGTCTCTAGCAAATTTTAGTGTTGAATGCCTGCA